TCACTTTGCAGGGTCTTTCATGCCCTTCAGCAGGCACACATAATGAATGTGTTCACTGATGACTTTAAGGCCTTGGGCATAGGAGCAGAAGCTTCTGACCAGTTAGTGATGGTTTCTGAAGGCCTGAAGCTTCAATGGACCTTCACAGACGAGAAGCGCGCCATGGGCAAGAAAATCAGCAGCGTCAGCTGGCACCCTACAATCCATGGTGAAGTACATAGACTTCTACAGACATAGCATAGAGTACATTTATGACCAAGTCAAGATTTGTGTACCTTAGAAACTTTGGACATTCATGAACATTGCAAAATAATCGTTAGAACCCTGACAGGTCACATTAAAATCATCATAATTCATTTTCTTTCACTTTTTAGTTGGAAAAATGAGGTCACTATTGACCCCTTGCACAGACCTGGGCAGGCAGGAGTTTGCCCATTTCTTGTTTTTTCAGCAACAGCAGTTTGTGGCGAGAAAGTATACACTTAGTGGGCGATGATATAAATATGTACAAATATACAATAGCCTGCCTAAAAGAAATTGAACTCCCTTTTCCTGTTATTTCAACTTCACTGACAAGCTCTGTAATATCTGTAATATCAACGCGTCTCTCACCTTAAGACACACATCGACGTCCACAAAACCAGAAAAAGAATATCAGTGTGATCAGTGCACATGCATTATCAATTTGTTGCTTCTATGTAAAGTAGAAATTAGAGTAGATCTACAAATGTTTCAAAAAAGGCTAAGTAAACACAGGTCTGTTTTCCTGTTGCTATGTAGCTGATACATTGTGGGGTGTGGTTTGTTTTGTCTATGTGGCAGGTCTGATAGCTGTGACTTATATAAAGAAACAGGAGGAGCAGCTGGATAAGTCCACTGTGTACATCAACAGTCCTGCTTTCATTGTCTTCTATGGCTTCCCCGATCAATCTAACCCCCGGGTATGAGAAGTAGAGGAGAGAAACCCATTAATGGGAGTCGAGAAAACATTTTTTTTAAACGTATGTGTTTGAGAGTTAGCTCTAAGTCTTTGCCATTTTACTGTAATTTATCTTCTGCTGTATTAAATTTGAAAAGATCTATTGATTTGAGCCAAGCACTCAATCAATATAACCAAGCTGCTAAATCGCTCAAAAGTAATATGAGTTCCACGTGTGCCTTCAATGGTGCATGTGTCATGATTTGGTTTCAGCCTCTGGGACCAGTGGCACTTTGACAAGACATATAAATAACATAAATAAATAATATTTTCTACAAAAGGGAACAAAGCTAAAAAATATACTGCATACTGTCTTTTTCCCCTTATGTCTAGTGTAGGCATATAAGAGACTAGAATAAATACATTTTTGCGTTGGGAAGCTCCTTATACATGGAAACCTCTGCTTGGAAATATGTGTATGCTCATTTTTATGTGTTTTGATTTTTTTTACATATATATAGTTGCTCTTGGAGTGCCCAGATGACATTTTTGCCTTCGAGTTCTGCCCTTCGAATCCAAATGTTATTGTTGGTGGCTGCAGGAATGGCAAGGTGCTCCTTTTTCACTCAGCGTCTCAACTTCACAAATCAAAATAATCAGTTTCTCATCCCATGCCCCCATTTTAGTTCAATATAAACATGGTATTGCATACTGTTGCCACTCTTCTGTCAGCATTTAATATGATATATTTGAGGTTTTTTTTTTTTCTAATATATATATTTGTATATTATTATCTATAGTCTCAGGCTCAAATGATCATCACCACTAAACGATTTTATGTTGCTGATGTCTCAGGTGGTGTTGTGGGACATTTCTTTTCACATCCCGCACTTACAGGGAACACGGCCTAACAGTAAAAAAGCCTCAGACGCCGACTCTGACACTGACACATTTGTAAGTACCCATACTCTCTTTGAAATAGTCACAGTGCTGATGCAGTGAGACGTGCTGTTCTGTACAATGTTAGTCAAGTTACTTGAAAAAAGTAATTAGTTACTTTTGAATAACATGATACACAACCTGAACACATATTAAAGCAATAGACCTTTCTGCCCAATAATATTTTTTCTGCATAATCCAACATATGAAGTTGAAATCAATTTTGAAGTCTCTTTTTAAAAATTGTTTTACTAATTTTAATCTTTTGACTTTATGCACATTGAATCATGCAAAAATTAAATTATATGTAACAGTCTTTGACTTAAAGAAATTTATTTAACATTTATTCTCTGCATATTCCAGCATATAAAATAAAATATTTTTTTGTGTTCACAACTAACTCTTTCAAATAGATGCAAGTGAAACATCAATAAATAAATAAAATCAAAGGTTCAGTGGGACTAAATCCTGTCACTCTTAAATCTATTTTCACCTGTTTAGCAGGAGTGGGGCGGTGGAGGTTTGCCCAGTGCTGCAGCGGTCATGTCAGTGGGGGGATCCGGGGAGTTTCTCTGTTAATTTCACATTCCCGTGGCAGATTTAAAGTTTAATTTTTCGCTGAAAAAATACGTTTTCTTCCCATGCAGAGTGAACAGCAGACGCTAATGTTTTTGTCACTATTTTCCGAATCAAACTCAAAGTAATGTCAGTACTTCCAAGCTTTAAACGCTGCACGGTCGTACTCTCTCCCGTACTCCATATTATCCATTGTTGATCTGCACACGTCTGTTGCTGCCACGGACGTGGCACGCTTGTACGTCATTGTCATGAGACGCTCTCACAAAAAAAAAATCATGGTTTAGAAATGCAGTAACGGAGCGTGCTTACGGGAAAGTAACAGTAATCTAATTACTTTTTTTGCAATAATAATTCCTTACTCTACTCATTACTTGAAAGGAGTGAATCTCTTAGAAAGATTATATCGTTATATAACCCTGCTTCTATATACGTGCAGCTTATTAGGCTTCATATGGACGCCTCAGTTAAACTGAAGTGAGATAAAGTGAAAATTCCGACTGAAGATTTATTTTATTATTTTTGGCAAAGCCTTGTAAAAAACACATTTAGTGTTTAGAATAGTAATGCGACAATATGTTGTGGGAAACACATTATATTTATAATGTGGTATTCTATAGTAAAACCCTTAAAGTGAAGGCCAGAGAACAGCTGTGAGTTATTATAGTTTGTATTTTCTTTTTCTTTTTTTTAATTTTTGTTTACCGTAGTTTTGACTTTGTTTTGTTTCAGCTCATTTCAGTGTAGCTTTTATAGTTTGAAAATGTTTTGTTTTACTGTTTCTTAAAGCTTCCACTTAAAGCCTAACCTGCACTGATATCTTCCAGCTGTATTTAAATAGACACTCGTGTCCTATCATCTCTGGCCCAGATTTACCTTGGGTGTTTTTATTGCCTCTACAGTGGAGCAGCTGTCTCCATCCTTCTCCTTACTGCTTCCTTCTCTTTGCCTTCCCCTCTCCCACCCTCTGTGCCTCCTTCTGTTCTCTTTGTCATTGTTAGCCCTTTATTCACCAGAGTCAACAGCACCGGCTCACATACGCCAGCTGTTACATAACTCTTGTTTCTTGCCCCCACATAGAAGATAACACACAGTGAAATCAGATCACTGCCCTTCCTGCTGTTTGCAGTGTAAACAGTGGCAGTTGCATCTACTAGAACGCTCTGTTAGGTGATGTGAAAGCTGTGCTACACCACGACCTGTCACTGGGTTGTCAGATAAATGAAGAATTACATTTTAAATTAACATCTTCTCTATCTATTTTTTGTTTATTCGCTCCATTGCACATAATAAATCCAATTGCAGGTCCACAAAACGACTAAGATATATGTTTAAAATTTGCTTGCAACACTATGAGGAGGTGTTTTAAACAAATTAAATAATCATATTGCAGCGATTTTATGTTTTTTAAGTGGCTCTATTGTGCCAGAATGTGTTTGAGTGTATTTATCTGTGTGCTGTTTGTTTTTCCATGCACACATCGAAGTCGTCATTTGCCTTTCATTATTCTGCTTGTGCGTTTTACAGTGGTTATTCGGCTGTGTACAGTCTTTGTGTCTAGATTGAATTTGTGTGTAGACTGAATTGTCAGAGCTCACCATACAGCACATTACTGTCGCGTGTCTGCTTTCCCTACAGGACTTGGGTAACAAAAAAGAGAACAAGACTCCTGTCATGCGCTACTGTGCAGTTTCTTCCATAGAAAGCAGCCACAAATCCCCAGTTACTGATGTCCAGTGGCTGCCAAAAACATTTGAGGTACTGAGGGACTGAAGGGCAAAGGGGTTGGAGGGAATTAACAACTGCTGGGAATTACTTTTTCCACCAGGCGCACATGAGCCTACTCTGAGCCCTTCCACAAGGTTACTGCTGTTTAGCGTGTGGATAAAAGGTGTTTTTGTGTGACTACACAGCAATAGTCTCAGAAAAGCAATCTTTAGTGTTCTCTAGATCTCAGCCTCCCTAAATTATATCTAATACAAACACTGTGTCGTAATTCAACATACTAAAACCCCCCAATCTCAAAATGGTAACAAAACACACACTTCAAGGTCAGGTCTCATACTGGCATACTGATTTCTCTGTCTTGTTTTGGAATGGTGACAGGTTAATGGCCAATTCACTATAAACAGGGCTAAGAGGATGTAGGGCATTAGTGGGAAGTAGATAGCAAGCAGAGCAAATGTTACAAATGAGGGTGCGAGCACAGAAAAGGAGCAATGTAGAATATATGTTCAGAGGGAAACAAATCCCACAATCACAACGTCAAAAGAAATCAAATCTAAACCTATATTTATCTAAAGATATATTTTCTGCAGTAAGACTATGTTTTTTTGTCTTTTACAAAGAAATCCAATATTAAGTGTGCACAGAAAATTACTAGCCATATATGTCCAGATTTGGTTTCCCACTTGTGCCTATCACTTACCTCTATGTAGTTACTTGCAGTAAATCACATCGATCACTTTCAGTTATCTGGATAAGTAAAATAAGGCAATCATCAAAGTGCCCCCAGGGGAAAATCCAACCACCCATACAGCTTCATGAACCATGTTCATTCTTTACAAGACCAAGCCTGATGCAGACATTTATTGATTATGTAACTCCCTCTGTTTAGGTGACCAGGACAGGCGTTCCAGTTCAAAACATTTCTAACATTTCTGTTCAAGTTGTCACCTGCTCCCCTGACTGGTAAGTTCTCTACAGTTTAATGAAAAGAATAACTCCTGATACTTTTTCTTTTTACTTTTCACTGCTTGTCAGTATGTACTTTGGATGTTGATTCTGAGTGTGTGTTTTAGTGGCTGATAGCATGTGTGTGTTTTTTAATACATACAGTTATTTGCAAAGTAGGCAAACAAAGGCCTCTGGTTACCTGATGGATACATTATACACTCGCTAGATCTACTGTTTGCTTTATCACGTCCCCTTTCTCTCTCGCTGCCCTTGTTTTGAGTCTCTCTGGATTGTTTACATTCTAATGAAGGTCAAATACAGGGAAAAAAAAGAAAAGAAAGAAAACCTTTGGAAGTGAACAGTGTTTAGAAAATGGGTTTTAATCATTTTCCCTCATCATAACTGATTTGACTTTGCCACACCTCTACATGTGCATAGAAAAAAGGATACATAAAATATTATTATGAAATTACAACAAAACCTCGACAAGTTTAGATAATAAGCAAAACAACCCAAATGGGAATAATATACTACTTATGCCGTAACATGAGCTAAATAAATACATCATAATTTAAGTTCCTTGGTGTATATTTTGTGTAATTCCAAATCAAACTGACTTATAACTAATGCTGGAAATTAAATACAAAAGAAAGCAAATACAAAGAATATAAGAAGTAGTAATATTTATTGCTGAATTGTAAAAAGAGTAGAAACACAGTTGCAAGATACAGAAAAATTCAAGCAGTACCAGATCTCTTAGAGAAGATGGAATTCTAACTTCAGGCTAATGCTAGAAGGTTAGCAAGCTACATCCCTAGCTTTGAGTGTGGGTTTGGTTTTACTGTCTGTATTTGGCAGACAAAAATGTCTGGCTATTAGTGGCAAGTCACATATCAATTAAATAATAAAACACTACAATTTTGTTCAGATCAGTGACTTGGATTAACAAGACATAACAGCTACTAGCTAAGTTTAAAACATAAAATGTATATGTGTGAAAAAAATCACCTATAAATATTTCTTAAAGATGAAAGGTATTTATATAGAGTTAATTTTTTTTCTTGTAGAGTAGACTGTAAAGATGCTTTTTAATACTGTAAAGTTGTAAAGCTTTCCATTGGTGGCACTCAAACACGCTGGATTATTTTTCCGGTTTCATCTTAATTCTATGGTGTAATCTGTAGTCATTCTCCTCTGGTTGAACATACTGAGCCAATAATATATTGAAGAGCTGTGCAGTTGGTTAAAATATTGCCTTTTGTAAACCACGTAAATGAGTGTATCTGGCAATCATTATATTTCTCAGGAAATAACTATGCAGTCTAATTCTCACTAGTGTTTTTATGTGTTACTTCATTTTGCATGTCCTGTTATTCAGTTTAGATATGAAGTATCAATGTGAATACAGACTGTGTTTCACACTCTGCGTCATTAGACTGGCGCTAAAGGAGTTGCAAATGACAGAAAGATTTCAAAACACTGCTCCTGTTGTTTTTGGCAATAACCACATCTATATATGCAACAATCATGTTTGAATATGAACATTTGACGATAGAGAATTTTGTTAATTTTCAGGTGGTTCTTAATTCCACATTATCTTATTGTGTCTCTGTCTAAAGCACTGTCATGTTTTGGGATCTGCGAGTGCCAAAACTACAGAACCAGTTTCTGGCCGACAGGAAGCAAGATGTGGATCAGAAGACCATGATGACACCCTTTAGCATCCCCAAAACTTTCAAACACCTGGACCGGACATGGAAACCACTCTTGAGGGTACTTTCATGTCTGGGATGCATTACAGAGCTTGTGATTTGTGTAGAAAGAGCTTTTTTCTTCCAACCATAAGAAAATCAACCATAAGAAAAAGAATGATTCAATGTTTAGTGTTATTTTTACACATCAGTAATTATTCTGCAGACAAAGATTTGTTACAAGAAAATAAGGAAAATGGCTTAAATTGAATAACTATTTAATTTGTATTTACGTGTGCATTGGATTTATTTAACTGGGGTTTAGGTGATGATTTCAGTGTGTAGATTCTTGAGCATGCTCTGTGATTTTGTTTTAGATAAGGTTTTCTTTTTTTCTTCAAGTGATAAAAGCCATCTTCTTTTATGCCATGTGTTAGGTTTCCCTGCCAAAGATTGGTATAAGTGGAGAGTATGCTCCTTTGAAGTTCAGCCTAGAACATTACACCTGTAATAGTAATACAGGTAGGAACACAGGTGAGCAAGAGCTTTTACCCTCGAGGCTGCAAGGCTTTGTCTGTTTCAGTCTGCTATACTCGTTCTCTGTTTTCCTGCAATCAGTCACATTACTTAATTACACAAAATACTTTGTGGTTTTTTTGTTTGATGCCAAACGTTTTAGGAAGCTGACTCACTCACATGCTCATTCAAATCAAACCGATTGTCCATAAGAGATGTTGTTTGATCCCCTGCTGAATTTGTTGCTTATTGGAAAACAAAGAACCGTCTCTAATATTCATGGAAGCTTCAATTTAATGGAGAGAAACATTATAAATTGATTTGCATGTCTGCATGCGGCAGACAGATTAATTCAATTCAATTTTATTTATGCAGCGCCAAATCACAACAACGAGGTGCTTTATATTGTAAGGTAGACCCTACAATAGTACATAGAAAAACCCATCAATCATATGACCCCCTATGAGCAAGCACTTTGGCAACAGTGGGAAGGAAAAACTCCCTTTTTACAGGAAGAAACCTCCAGCAGAACCAGGCTCAGGGAGGGGCGGGGCCATCTGCCTTGAGCGGTTGGGGTGAGAGAGGGAAGACAGGATAAAAGACATGCTGTGGAAGAGAGCCAGAGATTAATAACAAGTATGATTCATACAGTCAATCAATCAGTTACAGATACTCCTGAATCTGTTTCTCCCATTCCAACCTCTCCACCACCATAAGTAAGACCAAATAGCTCTCCATGGATGTCAGGGGCAGGATTGCAGACCTGTTGAGGAGAAAGTACTGTGGTCAAGTTACTGGGTTTGTGCTTGAAGGAAGAGAAATGCTGCATATGGCACTAAGAGCATCATCCCCACAGTCAAGCACGGAGATGTAAACATTCTTTAGGACTGTTTTTCTGCTAATGGTTCAGGGCAAACTCATTGCACTGAGGGACCAATGTAACGTAACGTAAAATCTTGGACACAAACATCCTCTCCTCAGTCAGAACACTAAAGACGGGTCATGGACGGCTCTTTGGTCATGGATCAAATTCTTCTTTCAAAATCAATTTATAACTTCTATGTAAAGCGTTTTCTGGATTTTTGGTTTATATTCGGTGTGCCCTCCATTAAAATTAAACTACCATAACAATTAGAGAAATGATTTCCCCATTGTAGCTGATAGTCTCATTTTCATTGTTGTCCATATAACAGTTTTGATGAGGAAAGTAATGAAGCAAAGCTCAAGCGCAAACTATAGAAAGATACACTCACTGTGTCTTCAAAATATCAAAGGTAAAGAGCAATTATTATTTTATGTGCCTGAACAATTCTTATAATATCTGAATGGCACAGAATGTGTTAAAAACTGAGCATCACAGACATGTCTCCTGACCTCTTTGAGGGAGTTTTGGATTCTTGAGTTCTCTTTTGGATGGCTGAGCACAGTGATCAGTGGGGCAGGGCTCATTTGGCCCCGAGCTACTCTATTTCTCTCTCTGTCTGGTCTCTCCTCAGGTTTCATGGCACTTTATTAAGTGATACTTCCAAAACAAGGCCGCCATAGTTGCAGACCATTGGCTTTGCTGACTGTCAGCTCTTTGCAATATGCTGCTCAGACTCCTTGAGGGCCAGAAGATGATCATGTGTGTCCTGGCTGGTCAAGAAGAGACATGTCTTTGTCTGGCTTCCATAAACACAGCCTTGGTGGCTGGTTGTTATAGAATTAATATTCTTACTAACTCAAGCAATAAATCTTCTTTTTTCATCAGCCCTCAGGGAGTCTGTTATTACGATCTTAATGAATCCCTGTGTGATTAATACTGCAGCGTTACCTAAGATATCTGACTCACATTGATTGAGGGTGGTCTTTGCTGTGTGCTTCTGTGCCTTTTGACATTTCTCTGAACATTTAAAAAGCTACAATATACTTGTTAACATGATTTTTCACACTGAAATAAATTGTGAGCAGGCCCTCATGGGGATTAAGCAGAGTCAAACACTGTCTGTAGCTGTTCCTGTATCATCTTTCTCATATCTTTACACACATCTTAACTAGGAGAAAATAGATTTAGAAGACATGTGGTTTGGTAATCTGATCTAACCTTTAAGAGTGAGACTTTATCGAGAGCGGTCCACAGGTAAGGGGCTGTGAACAGATAGACCCACATGATCTCTGGCAGACAGTCAGGCTTTTGTGATGGAAAAGGCTTCTACCAGCTTAACCTATTTCAGCCCCTCCACCTTTTACCTCCTGTCCCTGTTTTCTCCACAGGCTTCCCTCCTACCTCTACTTCTTGTGCTTTTCTTTCTCTCTCCCTTCAAATCCACTCTTGCCAGCCCTTTCACTTCGGCTGTACCCCCTCCCCACCTCACTTGCTTTAGTACTTCTGTCGTCTTGTTCACGGTCAAATTACAGCACCACTGCCGCAGTTCAGGCTGTTATTTCCTTCATTTGAATAAAGCAGATATTCTTTTTCCTAAAATCTGCTAGTTTTCACCTATTTTTCTTCCCCTATTTGAGTTTATTGAAATATTTGCACTTGTCTAGTAACAAGGCGCTGAGTATTGTGAACATTTTAGTCCCACGTCAGCACCAGGCTCCCTCTCTCAGGTCACTGAAATGTTAAATAAATAAATAAAAAACAATGAGTTGAACTTTTAACCTGTTCTTACTTTACCGTCTCTTCCTGTTTTGTCTTACATAACAAGATAATGAAAATGATGGCGCAGAGGTCCTCCCAGAATACAGTCAACTCAGAATACCCTCAGCCAAAACGCTCAAGACCCCGGACAATGTTAATACCAAGTTTTATGTTGGAACAGAGGTAAAAATTCTGTTATTTTCTTCTAAATAAACTGCACACTCTCTCTATATGCTCATGTAAGGCTGAGGAGCACGAGCCAAATAATTTCATTAAATTAAATGTGGCTACATTGTTTATCTGTACATGACAATAAAACTTGAAACTTGAAAATGTCTTCAAATGATATCAACATAGAGCAAGTAAAAATACAGTTAAGTTCTTGACTGCTTAAGTACGCTTTACTCAGCTTGTGAGCAAGCTGGACTTCTTTTTTTTACATTGAAGTTCATCTCAAGTTGGCATAACCAATAATGAATGATTTTTTTTTTATTAGGTTTTTGCACATGTTTTTGTCATGCCACTTAAGGAGTATACTATACGTTACAACTTAACTGAAATAAGGAAGACACATACATACATTTATAAACAGTTTTATGTTCATTTTTCACAGGAAGGAGAGATTGTCTACACTGACTGGAAACTGGAGGAAGATGAGTTTGGACGAAAGTTCAGTGAGTAGTCGGGCTTGCCGCGCTCTGTTTTTTATGGCTCACCAGTGCTCAGCTGTCAGACTGACAGCAGTACATTGATTCATAAAACAATTACACCCAATTTATTCAAATGACTTTGATTGCTACTTTCACATTAAATCCACTATTTTGTTTGGTAGCCTGGCCAAATGTAATGACCATAATGTTTTACAGGGTTAATTGCTCCTTTGCATTATGATTACCTTGGAAGGAAATTACTGTCAAATAAAACTGTGCATATTCTCCATCTGTCTCACTTCACTCCCAGGTGCCAAGCCCCTCCTCTGTTTTAGAACTCATGCCTGGTTTGTGAACACAATGCAGCGATCACCCTTTTTCAAAGACATTCTTTTGACAACAGGAGGTTGGAACTTGGCCATCTGGAAAGAGGGTGTGATGGTACTGCAACAGAAAACATTGATTACCTTACATGACGTATGCATAATGCACATAGAATCGAGACAATTCAAATTACGTAATTTCTTGGTTGCTGTGTTGATCATTTAAACTGCAAAACTAAGCAAAACTATTCACACTTATTCAGTTGGTCACAGACATAGACTGTACATAAAAAATGGATGTAGCAGCCATGTATGGTTTGTGGAGCCTCAGCATTAGCAATCGTTTTTTTTGTTTGTTTGGTTTTTGGATAAACACTGTCAATTTTGGTTTTTGAAGCACCTCCAAATGGGAACCATGCACAGACACAGACTAATTCGTCCTAAGTAACACACAATACCACAAGTTCAATCGACAACATTGGAGCACATAATTCAATAACTAAAATGCTTCAGAACGCACAAAATTCTTTAAATACTTCATGTAAACCACAACATCCAGGGTGGCCCGATCTTCATGGGACCAAGCTCTAAACAAGAGTACAGTGCGGCATGCTGGTCCCTCTCCCGACCTGCGGTTTTCTTCATTGGGAGAAATGATGGAAGTATTGAGGTGTGGAACCTGCTCCTAAACACCAGCGAACCTACACACGTCCATGAACACGTCACCAGTACCAGAATTACCTGCATCAAACCCTGTATCACCTCCTGTGAGTTCTTGGCTTATATTAGGTGCTCAGGACAGATACGATTTTTGAACCTTAAAACTCATTTAATGGACTGTTTTGTACTTACAGCCAAACAACACTACCTGGCTGTTGCTGACAACCTTGGAGTGCTCCGTGTTTTCAATGTGCCAAAGGCCCTCCGCTCCCCGGTTAAGAATGAGGTAAGAAGACTGTGAGCTGTCTGTTTTGCTTGGACTCTTGTGTAATGTTAGGAAACTGCGGTAAAAAAGTGTTATTTTTATTAAAGGTATTTAATGGCTGCTACAGTATTATTGACTGCTAACTAGTATCTTTGTCTTGTTTTGCTTTGTTTGTATGCAGGATTTAAACATGCAGATCTTCTTTGACCGAGAGTATGACAGTCTGAAGGATTATTTGGAGTGGGAAGAACTGTGGGCGAAACCGAGAAAGGAGGCAGGCGAGTCTAAAGAACAAGTGGTGAGCAGTAGGTTTTAATTCTAAACTGAATTCCCAGAAGTCTTAAGGTGCCAGTTTCCATCAGTGTGACTGGAAGGTGGCTCAACAGCAGCTGAGAGGGAGGAAAGATGTCCTGTGTCCAGTGTTTGTAATTTCCTAGATCGGACAGTTCAGACCATAGTGACGCACAACGAATGGTTAGATTTGAAATGAAAATGAAGGACGAGAAAGGATAGGAGAACACTAAAGCTTTTCTTTCCCTGTGTCCTTTGCCATTTGTCCAATTCCAGGAGAATTTTTTTACAGTGAAAGTGTCCTTGAGTTAAACCTTGACTTCCCACAAAACTTCCCTGCATTGGTGATCAGAATCTTCAGCAGACTTACAAAAGTTTTAGTACTGACCCAGCTAAATATGTGGACGCATAAAGTTGACATTGGAAAAGATGAAGAAGGCACTCGTGTATCTCTTTTTGTGTCTCTCTCTCATTTTCTATCCGCTCATGTTTAATTCATTCACATCGTTATTTGATCCCAAGCACTGGGGATAGGGTAGTTATTGACAGGCAGTGCCTGACAGTCTGCCTGCTAAGTATAGAAGCAAACTTAAGTGGCTAACTGGTTCCATCTTAGGCTGCATTGCAGCTACCAAAAAAGTTTTGTTTTGCTGTAGTAATGTCACTTGGAGTGGATACTTTCTCTTAATTCCTCTAAATGGGAATTAATTTTCATGTTCACCTCCAGGTTCTTTCTGCTGTTGGCTTTAAAACATCTACGGCAATTTGAATTTAGATGGATGATAAGGACAAGGCACCTCTTAAATATGATATGAACAATACTGTTTGGTTTCCTGTTGTGGGAGGAAAGTATCAGGAATTTGCCACACAGTATCCTAATTTTCCTTTTTTTTTCTTTAAAGGACTGTGCCCTGCATGCAATACACAGATGCAGGGCACAGTCCAGATTTTACTAGAAAATTGTCATCTTATTTAATATTTGCATCCTTCAATAAAATTTCAGTTCAGTAAAATTCAGAGGCAATGTAATTTTCTGCCTCTACGATGGGAAACGCTGAGATCTTGGATTAAGTGCTCTATTGTTTCGTAATTATTGTTTATGATGAAGCTTTTTTCTCTGGCTTTGTCTGCAGGAGCCTGACAAGCCAGTCACATTCCAGGTAGACAGCGAGGAGGCGGACTTGAAGGAGTACAGTGATTACCTGAAACTGGAGAAAAGCATCCTTGAGTATATGGGCCTGTGGCCACATGCTCCAAAAGCCTAGGATACCTAATATCACACCCCTTCACACACACACATGCACATAAATTAAAATCTTTTTTTCTTACATTTATTTATTGATTTGTATAAGTTTAATGTAAATAAGAAAACATTTTACAATATGGAAACCTGTTCAAACTGTTCAACACATTGCCAGTGTTCGTATGTTTGTGCCTATTTTTGCAGTATTTCTTGTAATTTACATTGATTTTACAGTATACATTCACATTGTCCTTGGGTTCAGGCTTCAGGGTCAACAGATTATTTTCATCCATTCATCTAAGATCGAGTTACTGGGTAATGCCATCCATTAGTGCCCTCCTTACCACCACTCCCTAAGGATACAAAAGTGATCTGACCTTGACAGAAAGTCATTATATTGCTGTTTAATTTCAGTAAGTGCCGTAAGAAATGAATTTAGAGTCTGGTGTTTTGTGGACAATTTTGAATAAAAAGCCAATGACTGTGGTCACTTTCGCAAAAGCTGTTTGTCAGTAATCCTGACTTGTAAGTGATCATTATGGCTTAATATTGTGTCTCTGGGTCTTTACTAAGTCAGTAATTCACACGGCTGTGAACCAGTTGGAACTGGTGGCTATAAGGCCGACTACATTTTAGTAGGGCAGCATAAAAGGAGTTAAATGAAAGGATGCACTCTTGCTGATCTATGAATACATGTACACAGCCTGCACAGCACCAAATAGCAGTAAGCTGAAACTAGCTGGAACAATAAATATTTACCTAAAGAATATGCGGAGAGCATATTCTCCAAATAATCTGGCCAGATGGTGAGAGTCATAACTCCAGTTAAATGATAACACTACTCTAACGACAAGTGGATTGGATGGCTAACAATGTAATAAGATCATGGTATGCTAATCATGTGTGTATAGCTTGCCCTCATTGCACAAGTAATCAGCTAATGCAGCAATAACGTCTTGATCTAAACAGTGGCCAGATGTTAGCATTATGTTTAAAGCAGTCTCCCTAATGGTCCCGCTGAATGAATCCATTGTTTCCAGTGAAAAGATTCTAATCATTTGTCAGTTTGTGTTTTTGTGCACAAAAGGCCATGTAGTTATGTGCTAGTTAACTGCTGTCCAAGAACTTGCAAGGCTGTTTTGAGAGCGCAGGAAACTGCACCTGTGGCCTTGAAACGTTGTCACCAGAACCACGAGTGTGGTGCGTTACTGTACAGCACCTCTACAGCTAAAAATTGGAATGTGCTCAATATTTTAAGTAACACACTTTTACCAGAATTAGAAGATTTTACTAACTGTGTATTATTTTAGAAAGTAGGCTACTGAAATGTAGCGCACATGGAAACCAAACATTACAGTATAAGTTTGCAAAATGGAAACAGCTGGTTTCCCTTTCATAAGTAACTTTGGAATATTTCCATATGGGGAATAGATCAAATAGATTAAATCAAATTAAATATATCTTTAATAAATCCAAGGGGCTACATTAAGACTTTAATATTAAGTTTAGAAAATTTGACTTCCAAATGATCTTCCAGTGCTAAATAATGATTGTTTTATGATTAAAAACTGTATAAATATGAATCACATAACAGTCTGTTGAAGTGAGATTTTGTCCTTTAGACTGTAGTCCTCACAGCTTCATTCAGCCATGACTCCAAAAAATAATACTGAAATGAGCCACAGTGATGCATTATAATATCTTAAAGTTTGTTTGTTTTTTAAATTCACTTCATCTTAGAATTGTGTCAGAACTCGGATTGCAGTCATTACTGACGAGTGCAATCTGTAACCCAACCGACTTTAGTCTTTGTTGCAGCAATCGTTAAAAAGTGCTTCACCATGTAACAGACGTGAGATTCTAGATCAAAGTGAGTGAGGGAAAGTTGGATATACTGTCACGTAAAAAATAAAGTTTTCTTGGGATTCTGCACACTTGTGAGAAATTAAGTCCACCCTTACTGCTTCCATAGGATCTAAGAGGGTAAGTCAGCCAGGTGCTGCTAATAACACGGCACTTAATTAACTGATTATCAGCAAGTGTGACCACCTTTATTGCAAAGTTGTATATGAGCAAATCACAAAACTTCTGGAACAATGTCCTTTGGACAGATGATCAAAATGGAGAGTTCTGGCCATAATGCACAGCACCATGTCTGGAGAAAACCAAACACAGCATATCAGCACGAATACGTCATACCAACCAAGCATGGTGATGGATGTGTTATGATTTACACTTGTTTGCAGTCTTTAAGTCAACCATGAACTCCTCTGTATAGCAAACTGTTCAAAAGTCAATACTTGAATATCTGTCATACAAACAGGGCCGCCCATTCGACTTGACTAACGACAAACAAACTGTGTCCTCTGTGCTCTGTGCCATGTATATGGATACATGGTGTTTCTGAAATGCTGGAAAAAAGCCTGATATTCAGATTTTGCTCAGTGTGCAATAAATACACGTGGACCATGACTTAAAGAATAAAGTTATATTTAACATAACACAACTCAGTCATTTAAAGATAGCAACTAAGGCCAAAAACTGATCAACAAAGCGTTTACTGAGTTCATAGACTCAGTAAAGGGATTTTCCCCATAAATATCTGTGCAATTTACTGCAACAAGAGGAGTCGCCCCCTGCTCGTCATTAAGACAGAACGCAGTGATGAAGAAGATGGCATTGACTTTACTTTACTTTTACCCAGATGCTAACTCAGTTTTTTACATTTTTTTTGTGAAAAGCGATAAAGCTTGAGGAATCTCGTATAAGAAATTTAATGTTAAAAAAAGACACATGATGGAAGGCAAATCCTAGTTAAAAGCATTGGAAATAAGCAGTTAAAATAATTTTACAATTAATTTGTATTAGGTTATGAAACTTTTGCCAGTTGTGTTTGATTCCAAAATGGTCAAGGGCTATGGAAATCACAAGAAAAGCTCAATTAAACGTCGAATCCTCCCCCATTGTTCACAACATTTATGAGAATGTCGTTTCCTTTGCAGTATCTTGCAAGGAGTACCTCTGCAGCTTTCTAGACTCCATTAGTTTCACTCCTTCATGGGGATAAAATAAGGACGCCTCAGAGCGCTGGGTCCACCACAGGTCAGGGCAGCGCCGCAAACCTATAGTCACAAATTGACAGCCGGTGTTCTGCCAGAAAAGAGGCCGGAGGGACGGAGAAGGAGGGGGCTATAGGGGCAGCTGTCTATTGCCAAGTTTTCACACTGTGTTCGAGATGCCTCAAAAGGAAAGAGAGAGTGCGAGGGTTGAGAGAATCAATGAACAACACAAGCACGAATGGTTGAATTTAGGGGGGAGAGGGGGAAGGAGACTGTTAAAGAGGAGAGAAAGATGAAAAACAGACACGATTCTCCTTAGCAGAAGTGAACCGGGGTCGACTTCACCCTGGCCATGACTCATTCACATGGACGGTCCTGTCAAGGAGCGAAGGGGGTGGAGGAGGGTGAAGAATGGGCTGATGTGAGGGTGCACAGCGACAGGCGTCCATATGGCCCCTGAGGCACCAACAAGGTCCCATGACAAAAGGGGGCTCTGCTCTCAAGTCGCGTCCTCCTCAAACCTCTCTGGGAATTCTCTTTCGCAGTCCCCCCTTTCCTCTACAGAGCCTCTCACTTTTCTGCCAGCCCAGCAAGCAGCAGAGGAATGTGCCTTCTGCAAACCAGCACTCGCTCGGGGATTGCCTTTACACTTGCTGGCTAGTTATTATTGTAATGGCTGATGCAAAGAATGTTGTGCAATTGAGTAGGCTTATGTGCTACGTAAACATTTGCGGCATTTGAGGTTTTGCAGACGTACATAGAGATGTTTGCAGGGTAAGCTCTACTGCTCAGCATTTGTCCTCTTTAGAGCATTCGCTACAATAGTCAGCAGCATGGCCATAAACCAAGTGGCATGAAGGGCATTCATGATGTCAGCTTTTCCTCACTTGACTTCTTCATCTAAGTCCCAAGAGATTTCCCAAACATAAAAAGTGATCTTTAACTAAAGGGGGGAGTATTGGGGGGGCGTCTATACAGAGTGGATTGCCCGTAGTCCAGTTTTTATTACCAGTTCATCAGAGTTCTTAAGCCAAGTCCTGGGATACAATGAGCGCAGGTGCTGTGCAGGAGGGGCTGTAAATCTGACCAGGCGAATTAAGCCATTGCTTTGGCATTGTTCTGTTTGGCCTCCTATCTGTTTTTGCTCCGGAGGGTGTTGGGTAGATTGGGGTGTTGGGAGGGACATGTGAGGGCCTGCATCCACAAATCTCCCAACATGGGAGGCATCCTGCAGATTTCACCCACGGTCATCCGAGTCGGACCCCAGCTGCAGAGGAGGATCATGCAGGACAACGAGAAGGGTTAAAAGATATTAAAAGAGGCAGAGCTGGAGAACAGGACGGTTGAGAGAGAAAGCCACATTTGCCTGTGAGATAAAGAAAACATTTAATTGACTGAAACAGAATTTCTCCTACTTGAGACACAAGCAAATCAGAATTCTGTTTAATCTCAAAGCAGCTGTGCAATTGCTAAAAGTATCCCCAGGTAAACTGTTGGGCTTTCTTTCTGTAAACCATGCCGCTGTTTCTCTTTAAAGCCTCTGCCAAGCTGGTGGTAGGTTTCATTAGTTGACCCTTGACCTCATAAGAGATCAGGTGACCAGGGCAGTGCTGTGGAATGCTCCCTCTTGACTCCTTTTCATTTTCTAATTTCAAAGCTCTCAACACTTTGGATCCTAGTCATTTTACCAGCGCCTTCTGTTATCTACAGCAACATGTAGAGTGTGTGTGTGTGTGTGTGTGTGTGTGTGTGTGTGTGTGGGTGTGTGTGTGTGTGTGTGTGTGTGGTTTTATAATGTCCTGTATGCACTCAAGAAAAAGAAATGTATTTATTCAATCCAGTTTTCGATTGCAGCTGTTTAAAGGATTGTTGTTTGCAGCTTTATCTAATTAGAGAAATATCTTTGGCCTCAATTATAGCATCCGCGACACCAGTGTGAGCTATATTTTAAATACAATTTCATCAATGGGATCATTAGATTGTAGGTCATCCAATAAACCTTTCAGTAAACTTATAAGTCTTAAGTTCTGTTTCTACTTTAAGCTAAACAGAGAAGCTAGTGGCAGAAGATTCACAAGGACAATGTTAACCTGCTAATGTTCAGCCAGTGAAGGTACAGTGCATTTAAGTCCACCACTCTAGAGGGGAAAATAAGCATGTCTGTCCATTGAAACTATGTTTTGTGAAGATATCCCCTTTTTGTCTGCTACTAAAATACTGAGAAATAACCAAAATCTGCACTGTGTTGGGATTAGCTAATCTTAGCAGGTTAAATAAGACAGAACATCTTTTTTTTAATAAGCTACAAAACTAAAAACTTGAGCATTTAATTCAAAGGTCACATTAACCCAGTATAGCAGTGGATGTTTTTAGCATTTAGCATCTATTTTAGCATGTTAACATGAAACATTACCATTGTAGAAAGTTTTGCAGTGTATCTGACAGTTGCAGCTGTATTTCTATAAATCAAGCTCTAAAGCCTTTTCAC